AGGTCTAGATTTAATCCCTGCTATAAGATGAAACCATAAATATTAACTACAGCATATCAACTTCCTATTAGATCTGTATAAATAAATAATAAATATTAACTAAGGTACTCACAGTTGGTGAAATCCTTTGTTGCTGAATACAGGGTGCTTGACATATATATTATTACTCGTATTATGTATATTACTATATAAGATATTTTTCCCCATAAAGAAGACAACACCATCAGCTGAAAAAACCCTTAACTTAATATGCAAACCTGATCATGGATCAGTTGTATTCATAAAATGATAAAAGTTACTCCTGCACTCTGTGGTACCTTGAACAGGATCCAAGTTGAAATGATCTCCTTCCCCTTGTTTCGAGCTCTGATGACCACCAGGTAATTCAGATGCTGCATCTTTGAAAACATCACAGCTCACATGCTCTCCATTGTTCTCCTTTACCATTTCGTCCATGAGTGTTAGCAACTGTTGATGTCCAAGGTTTTGGTGCCACAACAAACTGGATCTACATTTTCTGATCATGTCGCCTAACAGTGGATTTTGCAAATATTTTTCCATGAAACCTGAGCTCTCCTCTCTGGGTGTTGAAATCAGTATCAATGAATGATCAAATGATTGATCACTGAAGAGTTTCAGGACTCTGCAGAGTCTCAGTTTGTGTTCCTCAGTGAAGTCTTCAGGCTGTAGAACCATCAGGAACACATGAGGTCCAGGATCAGAGAGTCTCACACAGTCTTCTACATGTTCTGACAGTTTGTCTTCAGAGATGTTGAGATGCAGCAGATCTGGAGTGTTGATGAGAACTATTTCTTTGTCCTTTATCTGTCCTCTTTCTGTCAGACAGCAGTCTGGTTCTTCTTCAGTGTTGAACTTAGTCTCTCCCAGTATGACGTTCCCCACTGAACTCCTCTGAGACCAGCTGTTCCCCAGCAGAACAACCCTCAGCTCAGACACTGGAAAGAAAAACACTGTATTAGAAAAACCCTCTTGGTGTAGACATCTACCAACATGAATTACAATAAAATTGGGTTTACAACCAGTGAGGAAGTCACAAACTTTTCTTAGGTGGACTTCATCATCTTGAAAACAATCACCAATGAACTACAAATATTACAATAAAATTAAATGTGAGTATGTACTCACCAACTACAAACGATGTAATTTTAGATATACTATACATTCTGACTCAGTTTAACTCACTATCAGGTGGCAGCCATTCATAGCTGCTGCTCTGCTTCAGTGGTTTCAGATCTTCTGTCACTGTAAGGATGCAGAAAACTGATTTAAGAGGGCACTTGCTGTTGACGTTTGTGTATTCATATGTTATGTGACTGTGTTGTCACTTGCTCAAGTTAAAACTATATAAATAAAGCTTCTGCCTTTGATCCAGACAAAAACAGTCTCCAGACAAAACTCAGATCAGGACTGAAGAACAACATGGTGCATCTCTGAGAAACATTTGAGTATTTTCTTCCAGAATTCAGACACCTTAATGCATGATTACACTAGGTAGGAGATTCAACCAAGTATTTCATCAGAATCAGCTTTAATGGTCAAGTATGTGTGCACATGAATGGGATCTGAAGTTTATTATATTATCAAATAATAGTGGTCCCAGTCCACAGTACACCACACACCTGGACCCCCTGACAGTGACTGGAGTCAAAAAGACATTTTATTTTCTGTGTGTATGGGATTTAATGTATAAGTGAATCAGGGGAATTATGGAAACACGTCCCCTGCACTTTCCAAAATCCTGACATGCTCATTTGAGTCCCATTCAGGTGTAACATTCACAGTAACTGAGCACAAAGCTACAGTTGATAGCTTTTATGAAAACAACTGAGACATATAGTCTGTAAAAAAAAAATCATGTCCCTCCTACTGCCTCTAATGACATTTGCTAGAATCAGACTGCTGGACTGATCAAATATGATTCAAGACTCTGTTACTGCATTGCATATTTCTCACCTCAGATGTCTCCAGAAACATGTTTTGGTGACTGTTTGACTGTAAAATGAAAAAGTTGGCTTGGCTGGTGGACAGAGCTTGGTACTCCGGTTCAACTGGATTCAATATGGTGGACAGGTCACAAGTGTTTCTGACAACATTTGCAGTGAGAAATAATCAATGCAGTAACAGAATCTTGAATCATATTTGCCTAGGTTTGACAGTCAGACCACAGTTCAACATCAGTGATTGACATGATTGACAGCTGCTTTAGAGACTCCTCACCTCACCTCTCTTTGATTGTTTTTGTTCATGTCCCGTAAGGCCATTAGAAATGTAACGAGGCAATAGAGTTGACAGAAGAGTGTGGTTTTTTTCAGATTCTACATCTCATTTTGTGCTGTGTGAATATAGATACACTTTAGGCAAATGTCAAAACAACTGTAGCTTTAAGGAGTAGCAGCAATGACTTCTTGGTCATTTTTGCCTTTGGTTTTGTATGTTATATGAAGTCTTTATAAAGTTAAATACAGTGATGATGGAATTATAATAATACAGTGTTTCCTGTGCCCTACATACTGTGAATTAAATTCTGATTAAAGACAAGAATCATTCTGACTCAGTAAAGTTTGACTCACTGTCAGGCGGCAGAAATTGAAAGCTCCCCCTGCGCTTTCGGGGCTGATGTTCATCTTCAACTGTAAGGATACAGAAATAGACACATATATTCATTATTCATCATTTATATCTAATACTAGTCCATACCCATTGAGTGCACAGTTGCCCACGTTTCACATGGTGTATGTTTGGGACACAGGTCATAGGAAATTGCAGATTAAATAGTCAACTGAAGCCATTAAGAAGAGCAATGTATTCAGACAGAATGTTTGTGAATTTGACAGTACGATTGCTTTATTGAAAGTACAGTAGTACCATTGCCAATAGTGGGATAGTTAGTGGGCTAAAACTGTACATTAGTAGTTGAGGTAGCACGTTGAAAGGCAGATAGTTAAAGTCATTGCCTTATAGAAGCTCAGTTTTAGTAAGTTTTCCAACTTTTGCCAAGAGGGAACTTTAGATATTGGTCCCTAGATTATGTTCACCCAGTTTCATGCAGATCGCTCAAACTTCCTAGGAAGAGATCCATTTGAAGTGTTTTTCAAAAAATTCAAAATGGCGGAAAATCTATATAAGCGGAAGTTATGGGTTCTTGAGGCAAATGTGTTCCTCATGAGGAGAGGCATCTCTGTGCAAAGTTTCATGTCTCTACGACATACGGGGCATGAGATATGCCCATTCAAAGTTTGACATTTCAATGGGTTGCTATAGCGCCCCCCTTTGGCCAATTGATGTAATATTGCTTCATTGGCATCCTCCCATGACCCTCTACCACTGTGCCAAATTTCACATGGATTGACCAAGTCAATGAGGAGAAAAACGTGGAACAGACCCACACACACAGTTTTCGTCAATATAAGATAGTAAGATAAGATGGTAAGATGGCTGTGCTTGGGCACAGTTCAAATCTGCAATTATCATGAGTTTTCTATAAAGAACTGTGATTTACCTCTTCTCTTGTCTTATTATCTGACATAGTCTCGTCTAATGTTTTCACGTTTATCATACTGACATTACCTGATTGGTTTGAGATTCAGCCAACAGGCTGTAAACTTAGCTTAGCACAAAGGCTGGAACAGAGGGAAACAGTGAGCCTGGCTCTGTGCCAAGGCAACAAAATCCACCGACCAGCTCCTCTAAAGCACACTGATTTACATATTATATATTGTAAGTGTACTGGGGGTAATTTACTTAGTTTGATTGTTCAGATTGATTTTAACACTGAGACCAACTGATAAAGATCACACTCTGTTGTAACATTAATGTCTGAGATTTACAGGCATATAATTTAAGCACACTATTTACGTCACAAAATAAAACTACTCATGGAATTCTTTCTTTATTCATCACATGTAAAATGTTGAAGAATTCATTTTGTCTCACAGTTCTTCACTGTCAGGGCTGCTGCTGCGCTGCTGGACCTTTAAGTCATCAGCAATCACCCATGAACATACACAAACCTTGTGGTTGTCTGTGTCCGCCATCAGTCAAGTTTCACTTTAAATTACATTTTCAGTGTTCCTAAGAGGGTGCTGTAATATGATGGAAAGTTTACAGTACATGGACAAAGTTAATGTGCCATCCAGCCTCAGGCTCACTGTAATGAAGCTGTAATACAAGTTGCAGAAGCGCAGGGACTACAAGGCCCTGTTTCCTGACTTGTTCAACTTTATCAAGCAACAAGTAAGATCCTCTCTGACCCCCTTTTTTTGGGAATATACAAGAAGCACAGCCTCACAAGTCTATCAAATAAAAGTCATGCCAAAATCTACCAACAAAGAAAGATGCCACAGCAGCAGCCATCAACACCTCTGAAGATATAAGATCTACAGAGCTGCAGGTCCACAGCACGTCCACTCCATCATGAGCAGGTCTGTGGCTGTGGCTCAGAGGTAGAGCGGGTCGTCCACCAATCAAAAGATCGGCGGTTCAGTCCTCCAGTCTGCATGACGATGCAGACTGGAGGACTGAACCGCTTCGACATTGTCGAAGTATCCTTGAGGAAGATACTGAAAAACTGCTCCTGATGGCTGTTCTGGTGGGTGAGTGAGTTAAAAACTGAGTAGCAGGTGGCACCTTGTATGGTAGTCTCGGCCCTGGGGCAGACCCAGAACATGCTGCAGTTATTATATATCTCGTCTTGCCTGGGTTACTCCCCCTGGAGGAGATGGAAAGTCTTGCTGACTACTTTGTTCAGTCTGCTTTGCCTGCGACCCAGCTTTGGATAAGCAGTTGAAAATGGATGGATAGATATTTTGTGTTTTTAAATGAGGCCATCCAATCAGACGAGCTCCTCTCAGGAGTCACAGACCTGATTTAAGCTCTGAGGACAAAGGTCTTTATTATGAGGGTAATATGTGAACAGTGAGAGAAGACAGTGTGTTACTGAGCTAATAGAGTTTGACTGGACTCACCTGATGGTGCAGTCGCCATGATGTCACTCTGCTGGTAAAATCAAGAGACTAATTCACCTGGAGGGAAGAACACGTACAGTTTAGGCTCTGCTACGCTCTTATTTGCAAACACACTCAGACTATGATGGTACATGTTGCAAAATGCAAGAGCTTGTAGACTTGATGTGAAATCTTGCAGAACAAAAATCTGAACACGTACATTTAAATATTCTCATAAAATAATCCCACATGAGCTGAATTTAAAGTCACAGAAAACAAAATGTAACAGGAGAGAGCTCGCAGAAGATAAACTTGCACGTATATAAAATACTCATACATGTGTGTTCTGAATGTGAAGTCACAGAAAAAAAATATTCACAGGTGTGTAGACTGACAGTTTGATTTCATTTGGTTGCTCTTGATACGTCCTCACATAAAGCAGCTCATTTTGCTCTGCTCTGTTTTTAAAGAACAGATGTTATGACACTTATCACTGGAAAACCTGAGGAGTATCATATTTACACACATTTACATATCATATTTTCAGCCATTACATTTACTGTGTGTGTGTGGGCGAGCAGGGTTGTCTGTAAAAACATTTTTATAACACGTTTAAAGATGTGAAGAAAGAATTCATGTCCGTTAATGAAACTGGAATGAGTTATAAGTCCTGCTCCTGCAGAGGCACGAGTCATCTGGAACGGCGGATATCCTCTGATGTTAATCTGCAGAAATTTAACGGTTTAAACGTTGAAAAGTTGAATACAAACAGTTTGAGATTTTTCAGTTTAATTCCGGTCTGAAACGACGTCCTCTGACTCCTCAATTCCAACAAACAAACTTACATACACACATACAAACAAACAAACAAACAACACAAAGTGTCGCAGTTTGATGTTTGTCTTGACAGACCCGAGTTCAGACAGACCTCACTTACCTCCTTTATTTATTCCTTCACTGTTACTGATCTGGTTTGAACTCTTTCCTCACCAGCTGAAGGTCACATGCTGCGCCATCAGTGCAGGACAAAAGCGAAAGTTCCAAGTCAAAAAGGCGGGACTCCTCGTCATCAGGTGACGTAAAAAAAACAATAAAACCTGTGATCAAATCAGTGAAGAAGAACTACAGCCTGTGTTTATGGTTAAGTAATATTTCCTAAAAATAATTTTGACTTTATAAAGGAAACATCTGGAAATGATCATTTACTTCTCAAACGATTTGATTCGTCTGATGTGCATTTGGACATGTTTGTTTCATTTCATATTTCCTGTGTGAACTTGGGTTTTAAATCAAGAGATATGATTCATATTGTCCCAGTGATGTTGCATACATGATCTTCCTGTCATCCAAAATGAACAGAGTGTGTGCAGAAAAGCAGATTGCTATAAAAGCTGCAGAGCTGTTGCTTTTTCACTCTTTATTCATAAAACCTTCATTTTATATCAGTCAAGTCCAAATGCTGGTTAGGTTGTTTATTCCAGCTGCTCTGGTTCAGCCTGTCAAGTGTCACACGTCTTCCTTCAGCTGTAGATGCGTGTTTGTCCCATCACAAATAATTTAGATATGAAAATGCACAGCTATCGATACTGAAATTGCTGTCCTTCGATCTTGTAGGCCTAAATACACAGGCACCGCTGCAGGCAGCCTCTCACCTCACAGCAACAGCCCGGACCTGGATGCGCACAACACGCGACCTGAACATGGTAACAAGCAGTAAAGCTCCCGTTTAAACATGTAAATCAGGCCTTTAAAAAGCCAACACTTTATCAATACACGTGATCGGCATGTAGAAGGCCATATTTTAATCCGCCCTGTCCGCAGTCTGTCATTCAACACCGCTATTATGGTTTATGATCGCGCTTGTGGGGTTTAACAGCACACTGTTAAAGGTAGAGAGTGTGTGATAGATATTGTTAATGTCACTTATGCTTCTGTGAAGTGATAGTTCTTTTTTATTCTGTTTCTGCATCAGAAACAGATGCAGAAACAGAGGAGGAGGGCTGAGGAGGGCCATGTCTGTCTGCTAAAAGAAAAAGTGGATGGGTTGCTCGCTGCTAAAAATGTGACCCAGCAACATTATTAGCCCTGACCTAAAGATTATTATATACATATATATATGTAT